TTTTTTTACGGGGATTAGCCCACCCGGGCACATGTCAAACGACCCACAACAGGGCCGGGGGGGCAAAAAAATACCGGGTAAAAACAAATAAATTAAAAATAGAGAAGAAAAAGGTTATAAAGTGTTAATCTACACCATAGATGCTGGAAAACCAGCTTTTTAAAGTGAGACAGATTGTATAAGTATGGAAACACAAACGAAGGCAGAGCACTCCACACTTTGGCTGTGTGAGGAAAGAAGGATGTACTATAACGGGTTATTTTAGTGTGACCGCGGGCAAGACGTGTATTACGAGCCCACGGCCTTGCTGGAGGTACACAGGATGCCAATCCACTTAACATTGCCTGTTAAAGTACCTGTAAAAGAGAGAGAGTGAAGCAACATTGTGGCGAAGAGAAAGGGAAGAAAGATTATCAACTGAAGAAGAAGAGTTAATAACATGTAATGCCTTTGATTCCACCCTATCTAACAGTTGGACAGAAGAAGAGCCACCCCAGATATGAGAGCAGTACTCCAAGTTAGGACGAATGAATCCCTTTTATACTTGAAGCAACTGCTCATGAGTGAAGTAGCTACGGCATCTGTACAGCATTCCCAACTATCGGGAGGCAGCTTTAGCTATGTTAAGGATGTGTGATTTCCATGACAGATTGGAGGAAATGGTGAGGCCTAGCATATCTATTTCAAAATTTGGCAGAATGATAGCATCCTGAAATGTAATTGGTGGGAGATACTCTCATGTCCACAAAAAATTTAAACTTACACTATACCTCTTCAAGAAAGTTGATTTTATTGGTACCAGATATCAAAGTAAGCACTATCTGTTTAATATGGCGGGGATCCACCTCCCAGCTAGGAAGTTAGGAAAGGTCAGGTAGGTTTTCTTGGTTTTATTATTTACTACCATCCAAAGAACTTTTTGGAGAAAAAATGAACGAAACCGAACAACAAATTCTGGTGTTAACCTTCTGCTCCTGGACTACCCAAGGTTCGGGTAATATTGACAAGATACCCATCGCAGTCTACCGGTAATTTGTTTTGATGGATCTTGTCTTACTATATTTTCATCTCTGAATTCGGATACGATATTAATTTCTTGGATAAATGCTTCATTTGGTAAATATTTAAGCCCCTTGGCTCACATTAGCGGCACTATATCGTCTTGTGCTACACTCAGTGTACGTTAAGTAGTGCAGTGTATGTTTATGAGCCGCTCGGTCCGGGCGTTTTCTATCACATCCATAAAAATCTTAAAATTACACCACATGATAGTAAGTTCTTTCTGTTTAATGACTCGTAACCATCAGTGGTTTGGTATTTATGGGGGGTGCTTTTAGAAAAAGTTTGTGCATTGATTAGTTTCACTTCTATTAATTTTCTTGGGCAAATGATTAGTTTTCTAGATATAGGCGAGTTAAAAAGCATTCTTACAGTCGCGTCATCAGCTGTAGTGTGGCAGATGTAAACAAAGTAACAAGAGGACTAATATATGAAACGTGGCCATCAGCGGTTCGGTAATTATGAGGGCGTTTTTAGACAGTTTTATACACTGGTTATTTTCAGTTCCATTCATTTTCTTGTGTAAATGCTTAGTTTTCTAGATATAAGGGAGTTATTTCATAGGTTAGGTTAGGTTAGCACATAATTTCAGCTATTTTTATATTTTTCCCCAACATAATACAGTATCCTCTAATAAAATCAGTGAAGATGGGGTATTTTTAAACATATTTTCAATGCAAAACAGTTGACAATCATAATCCAAATAAAGGCAGCGGCACACTGCTGGCCATGGCCTGACGGTGCAGCAAGCAACAGGATTTCGCCTGTTGTGAGAAATGGAAAACGGCTTGGCGGCGAGCTTTACTGGTCAGGTTAGTACTCAAATGAGCTTCATACTGTATTAGGTGTTGAATACTCTAGTAAAACCTGTAATAAATCATGAAACAATAATAATTTAAAATATAAATGGTGACATATTTCTATTTATTCGTCACTTTTAAAATTCTTTAGTATTATTAAATCATTATTCAGGGTCTACTTTGACTAGCCATTAACTTTTCTTTAGCCTTTGCAGATGCCTCACTTGCTTCAGCAATTGAAGATCTGTAGCACAATCCTGCAAGGCCTCAATTGAAGTGCTCACCATTAGAAGGGGGTTGTAGTGGACGTCTCCCCTACAAACTGCGTAGCTGCATCCCACCTGCGACGCCTTCCTTAGCAACCAAACGAGCGGCAACACCAGATGTTACGGTAACCTAGCAACGGAACTAGAGACCGGCGACTTTCTCGGGTTTTCCCAACATGACTCATAGAGGACTCGCGGCTGCTGGGTATATAAGCTCTGTCTCTCCATTGAGATTCATCCTGGTCTCTCTTCTTGAACAAGCAACACCTCCTCCAGCAAGCTCCACGCTGTCAGCATTCATTCAACCAGGAGGCCAGCAACAGGCAACATCTTCTCTAACGAAGCTCCTGCACATCTACCTCCTTCAACACGCTACTCACCGAACGTCTCTACTGAGCAGCTCCTCACCACACGGCACCTCCAGCACCAGACTGTCTATCATATAACTTATATTATACAAGAAAACCACCTTAGAGTTTCCATCCATCCTGAGTGCTAGACAACATTATACCACGAATTCCTACAGGGTGAAGCGACACCCTGGCCAAAATGCATCTTTAGATGGATATCACTATTTTCACCCTTCCTCTACATGTTGAAGTTGGATGTAAACCTCTAGCCATAATAGAAATACGAAAAAAAGTCCTTCAAAAATAAGGTGTGATTTCGCCTCAGGCCTGGAGCTATGTATCTGGCTGTGCGCTCAGTCAAAGGTGGCAACATCCTGTTCAGAGCGCGAGTCAATGACAGTGCGCCTCCCTCGGACCATATCCCCTGGTATGGGTAGTTATTCTCATTGAACTCGCGATAAAATAATAACTATTCACAGTACTAACCTCCAGTTTTCACAATTTGCTTGGAGAGGGATTGAGCTGCATGCCAAAAAAAAAAAAAAAATGAACCCTCTTGCTTAAAAAACAACAAAGTTATGGTTATTTGAACTTCGAAAAACTTTAAACGCGTTTTTCTCAGCTTTTTGAATTTGGCGCTTCACCTCCTTCTAATGCGGAGCGCCTCAATTGTTGTAATCGGGATCCATGGCGAACCTCATCTAGACGCTTTCTTGATGTTTTCGTTGTGTTGGGCAGATGCGCCAACAAAATATCCCAGTGTGATGAAAACGTCTCTTTGTTTTGCTGGATGGTCTGTCTTGGCCCAACATGTTCGGAGGAAAAGTGCCTCGCATGCCACCACCTTAATTACCTTTTAATATGCCGGGGGGTCCAGGGGATGGAGCCCCACAGCTAGGAAGTTAGGTAAGGTAAAGTAGGTTTCTTTGGTTAGGTTGGTGCGGTCTTTTAACAACTCTTTGGTCACTTGTTTTTCTTATCAACTAAAGTTAGGTTAGATTTAATTGAGAAATAACCACTTTTTAACACATTTGCTCAAACTATGACAGTGTCCACTGCAAAACAGAAGTTCTTCATGCATTAAGAAAGCATTTATCAGTAATTATTGATGACTGATTCACTATCGATTTTTCATAGAAACCGAATTTAAAAAAGCTGCAAAATTTCAGTGTTTTACAATAGACACAGTCATAGTTTTGGCAAATGCATTAAGAAGTAGTTATTTCTAAAATAAACCTAACCTAACCTTAGTCAATAAGAAAAAACAAGTGGCAGAAGCAGTGTCAGAAGACCTTATTAATCTAACCAAAGAAACCTACCAAACCTTACCTAACTTCCTAGCCGTGAGGTTAGGACTTCCTATGATATGGTGTATTTTACGTTTTTTGTCTACATGAGAGCAGCCACCTAATTTGTGTGGCTCATAAACATACATTGGCAAATGGAGTCAATCAGAAATGATTGGCTGTACTGCCGCATCACGCCGAGAAAGACAAAGTAAACAAAATAATAACCTAAGCCTATCCCTGTACAGTATTTAGATATCCAGATATTATTATCATTTCAGTCATGCAGTGGATTTTGGGATTATAAGTTTAGGTTAGATTAGGTTGAAATTACGGTTTTCCGGTGATTTTTGATGCATTTTGAACAACTTCCAAATAGGTGCATGACCGAAACAATAATTTTATCGATTCCCAATCTAACCTGACCTATCCGCAGAACCTAGGAACTACGATATATCTAACATAGCTGGGTGGCTTCGCCTCCCCAGACCCGCCCTTTTCTGGTGGGGGTAAATTTCTAAGATTCTCCAGATGACTGAAACTAAAATAATACAGCACAACCTTCTTCCAGTATTACCAAAGTTATTTGGTATATTTGCTCTTCCACCTCCCATCTGATGGAAAGTCAAAAATATATTTGTCTAGTGTATTTGTGTGTGTTTAGACCGAATATGATCTTTATTTCTGTCATAAATTGACCGTTTTTTTTTATCTAAGTTTTTTCGTGGGACATTTTTCGAAAAAAAATTAATGGCTTAGCGAATAAAAAATACACAAATACACACTATTAAAACAAAAACCTAACCTAACCTAACTGACTCTCACCATATGATGGGATCAACTATTTCTTACCTTACCTTACCTTAGGTTAGGATTTTGTTTTAATAGTGTGTTTTTGTGTATTTTTTATTCGCTTAGCCATTAATTTTTTTTCGAAAAATGTCCCACGAAAAAACTTAGATAAAAAAAAACGGTCAATTTATGACAGAAATAAAGATCATATTCGGTCTAAACACACACAAATACACTAGACAAATATATTTTTGACTTTCCATCAGATGGGAGGTGGAAGAGCAAATATACCATTTCTTTTATGTACAAACGAAAAATATATATTTCCGATGGAAACGCTAAGATATTTTTTTTCTTTCTCTCTATATAAGACTCGATATATAAGTACTTGTTAGCAGCTTCTAAATATTTACCTTCGTCCATACAGTAGTACAGTACAATTTTTACCTTTTGGGAACTGCACTTGGGTATCATAGTCTTGGGGTGTCTCATAACTAAACTGTCCAGCCATTAGCGCACTACGGGTGTTGCTGCTGGCCTTCTATATGTAAACAGCTTCTTTAAATTACGACAAAAGATTATTACATAGGTTTCATTTTCCTGTTTAAAGTTGTCATGAAGATATGGCCAGTGTTAGTCGATTTACTAAAAAGCGAAAATAAATAAAGTGTGTTGTTTTTGTCTAAACTTACTGTCAATCACTCAAGATTATTAATTTTCTATTATTCATGTTTTAGGAGAAAGGGGATTACTTTTGTATGTAATAAAAGAGTACCTTATCTTTCCATAGGTAGACTGATCAAACAATATTCAATAAAATTATTGGCTACAACTCATAATTGTTTTCAAAATATTTTTAAATTTATTAAACTATAATATTTCGAATTATATACAGAAGGAAGAAGTGCTTCCTCTAAAACATAGATGTTCAGATTAATTAAAGCTCTTCTTGCTTTCAGTAATATTATAAGCTTTCGTGTTTCAGTACTCCTGCCTGGTTGTAGTAGTGGTCGTATCAAGTTAAGGGTCACTCACTAATGAGCTCTGAACCCCTCCAACAAGAACTGAACCATATATTTATAACAACTCCAATATATTTATTTCTGATGTTTTATTTTACCTTTATTTTTTTGCTTTAATTTCTTTGCCACTACAGTGCACTGTACTGTACTGTACTTGCCAACAAGTACATTCTAAAGTCCAAATTAATCTATCAACGAATTGACAAAACATTATAAAAGTATTTACACTGAAATTACTAAGATCGTTGACACTCACCTCCACCTGGGATAAAGTAAAGAAAGCTAAAGTAAAAAAACTCAGTTGATGGACATTACAGTATAGACAACCTAGAATACAGTACATGTTGAAGTTCACTATTACAAAACATCATCACTTGTGGTTCCAGAACAATCTGTAGGTAATTACTGAAAAAAAAAGTTATGATGCTCACACGAAGGCGTTTGAACAGGAGGTGAGAAATATTATCTACAGAACTAATTATCGTAGTCTTGTGAGCAATACTGTTTAATGAAGGTAAGGACGAGACACATGTACTGTACAGCACGGAAAATCCTAACTACCAATTACTAGTTAAATTTTCTCATTATTCTTAAAAAACTCGCAATGATATGAGTATCAAATTTAATAACGAATAGTAATATTAAAAGTCGTGAAATTCTAAATGATAATAGTAATAGTAGATGTATATAAAGTGCGCTTGGCGAGGTTCTTGTGGTATAGTTAACTAGTTGTCCGGCAGGAGGAGGATTGTCTCTTTTAGCATATTACTTCGACAGTCAAGGTAACTTTCAGCTTCTTTAGTGTATTATTAACGTTTTTCTTTCTTATAACCAGTTAGTAAATGTCATTATCTCTTGAGCTGGTGATAAAGTATATATGGTTTGAGTATGACAGGTGTTAGGAAGGAAATGATAACGTGATGAATGAAAAATGTGGAAGAAAAGTTTTGACCACGTTGTTTATACGGACACCGCTACTCCCACGTGTAATAAAGGAATCATTTAAGAGAATAAGGGTTTAAGTGATTAAGAATATTTAAAGTACAGCAGATAGATATATACAGTTCGGTTGACTGGTTTGAACTAATCCCTACCGGTAGTTGACATCTGGTTGAACTGTGAGAGTAGATCCTAATGACCGCCTTCCAGATTCATCAGTATTATAAGTTGATTAGGTAATTATTGAACACTGACCCGCCGCTGAGTTTTCATAGTGTTATTTGTTCTGATGTTTGCAGTATACTCCTCAACGTTAGCTGGTTAAGGCTAGGTTGAACTTGTAAATAAACACTTTAACACTTGCCATAACTATGACAGTGCCCACTATAAAACAGTGAAATTGCGGCATATTTAAATTCGTATTCTATGAAAAATTAATGGCGGGAAAGTCAACAATTACTGACCTCGCTGACCTAACCAAGGAAACGTACCCATCATTACTAAACCTAATGTGAAGCTCCACCCTCCTGTGAAATTTTAGTCATGCACCGGTCTTTCTCTTGCTGTTATTAATATGTTTTTCGTAATGTTTAGACAATTCTAAAACCTTCTAATACGATATTTCCGCCGGAAATTAAGGTTAACCTATATATTAGTTATTCAATATTATTAGATTTGGTCAGTCAAGTTTACCCATTAGTTGTCGCAGATAAGGTCTGACCACCCATCACGCAGTGCTCCTTACCTCCGTGTTGGCTTCTTAAGCGTCTACAGCACATGTGCAGGGGGTGGTGTGGGAGTTTCTTATAGGCTATAGCGATTGGAGACATAATTGGGCAAGAGTTTTTGTCGTAGCCAATGAACAATGCGTGGGTGTGTCGGGAGCGGAAATTTGATTTTTCAGTACTAGAATAACCAGATATGGCTGAACAGGTGGAAACATTATTTTGTCAATTGCAGTTTCATCAGAAAAATAGTGTTGGGTTAGGTCAGCTCAGGTTTTGTTGGTTGGTTGGTATTTTATTTGTTATTTACTCGAAAAAAAAACTTTTTCTTTAAGATTGATGGGGGGGAGGGGTATCTAAAAAACTATTGATTTCCGGCTGAAATGAATATCAAATTAGTTCGAAACATCAGAAAATCATATTTTTAATATCCAAACAAAGGCCGGTGCATAAGTGAAATTTGACACACTTTTACCATGAGTCGCCTAATTATCTACTAAAGGAAGCAATTTTCATAAAAAATGATTTATCATATCAGAACTCAATGATGAAAATATGCAGTACAGTAGTAAAAATATACACATCAAAGCAAATGATGCATCAGCGGGTTAAGGCAGCATCACACCGGCATTCTTTCTTCTCTTTTTTTTTTTATCAACTTAAAGAAAATCTATAAACTTTTTGTTGAGCACCGTCACACATGCTTTAAGAACCAACTGGCCAGTTTCAAAAGTTCGACAACTGTTAACAAACAAGGTGGATCCAACTGAGGAAGAAAGCGCAGCAATTCTGCGCCTTTTTTGGTGTATGAAGAGTTCTGGTGAACCCAGAGACAGCGACGCTGCCTTATCTGGTCCACCAAGAACTCCTCGGAGAGGTGTGTCCAGACTTGGGAAATTATTAGCTGTTGGCTATGTTATGTTGTTATTCCCGTTTGGTCAAAATGTAAACAACAAATTTCATTTTCTTGCCTTTAAAATCACGAAACACACATAATCATAAATAATCTTGGGAAGAAGAGTAATAATTGCTTCATAATAATTTTAGCTTCATATTTTAAGTAAAAAAAATTTTATAACTGTTTGTAATATCAATTATAGGTTTCGAGTTGACTCCGGTAAGTTGTCGTACAAGTCGTCAGTGCAGACGGTCTGTACCGTTTGACAAAAAGCCAACAACTGCCGAGTAATTTGTTGCCACCGACCGAATCTCAGGAATTTTATCTTGGCGAATCAATAGTTTAAACGTTAATGGTGGAGATGAAAAAACAGAAGCCAGGTTTATAATACTGGGTGATGGTTGTGCATGTTAACCACCCACTTACAAAAATTTTCTGTATTAGATAAATGCTTGTTTATTTCATGCAGTCCACATGGGTTGGAATAATTTTTTTGTAATATTCTAATTTTTTGGGACATGTACACATATATGATCACACAGTATCTTGTAATGGGTTAGATTGGATTTCATCCACAGGAATGGAATGCATGAACCAAATCTACCAAACCTGACCTGGGTTAAGCTGTTGTTTTTATTACGTCATTGGTCAATGTTTGCTAGCTTCAAGCTACTTCGTGGCAGTACAGTACAGGGTAATTGTTGACGACTGACCCGTGGCTGATTTTTCAAACAAAACGAATATTTCACTGTTTTACATAGTGGACTCTCGTAGTTCGTGCAAATGTGTTAAGTGGTTATTTCTGAATTAAAGCTAACCTAACTTTAGTTGATAAACAAGCAGCAGAAGTGTTGTTAGAAGACCACACCAACCTAACCCTACCAACTTCCTAGCCCCCAGACCCTCCGGTATATTAAACGGAAAGAACTTGCTATGGTATGGTACAATTTTACGTTATTTTGTGGACGTGAGAGCAGCAGCCCACACCGAATGGTTCATAAGCATACACTGAGCACCAGAATTGATCCGAACTGAGCGGCAGTGTGTTTTGAAATATGTTGATTTGATTGGCTGTTTAAATCCTGGGATGAGACTTCACTGCCACATTACCGCTGAAAGTAGTGCCCACCTAGGCACTTAATTATCTACCAAACAAAGTATTTGCACAAGAAATGATTATCATATCAGAACTCACTGATGAAAATAGAGCAAGAAAGCAGAACAAATAACTCATCTGTGGGTCAATCATCAATATTAACCCAGTACAGGACCATGCAGTGGACCTTTGAGTCATTTCCAATTTAAGAGAGGGGAATGGCTATCAGTTTCGTGTTGTAACTGTGTTTGCTGTAGCTTAATGACCAAGCTTGCATACACTTGACCAATACTGCACACTATGTAGGGTGTACTGACTGGTCAATCATTCTATCTCTGGTAAACATAAACAAACAAACAAAAAACAAGAATAATATATTTTGATTGATGTGGTAATTACATCCTTAGTGATGCAACAGCTTAGATTTTGTGTTGCTGAATTCAAATAAAGGCTTAAAAACATTTAAACATTAATATACAGTATAAGAAACTCAAAGCTTGTGTAAAGGACCTGCTTCCTCTATGGAGGTGAGGACGTTACCTCCCACACTACCCACTCCCCTTGCAAGCACCAAAGAGAGGTGCTATTGTTTATTCTCCCTCTTGATTGGTCATTAAAATTGCTAAATCATCACATTGCTTCAACGTAAGTACATTTACTCGATTATTGTTGGAGTTGAATATAATTTGTTTAATAGCTACTGGTGTTGGTCCATTCTTTGATACATTGCTGTTAGTACAGGAGGGAAATTGTAATGTTTGTAGAGTCACACTGGATAACACCCTTCTCTTGTGTGTCCAGGCCATGTAGGACTCGTTTGTGGCTGCTGCCATCTTTTTTATTTGTAAAAAAAACCTGTGCTACGAAGTGATCCACCTCCAGCTATGGCTCACTTTGCATGGCATGCAGAATATACAGTACAACTCTGTATATTAAAATACTGTCCCATTCACCAACTGAGTGCACGCTATGTAGCACTTGTGTTGTGCAACTGAACGCAGTCTTGAAGTGATTAACTGGTGAGCAGAAAAATATCCAGAATTGTGAGTTTCTTTCGGGTTTTTGATATGGTGTAAGGAAAGTTCTGTTCTTTGGTATATAGTACTGTACCTCTAAAGGCAGCATTTCTCAAGCATCTTTTCTGAAAATTTTCATCTGGCAACTCATTATCAGCAGCATATTTGGGGTAGTTATCAGTATATTCCGACAGAATTAGAGTTTTCGCCTAGTTTGAACACGTTGAAAGAAAATTAGTGCTATACAAAGGAAAGATATGTTTAACATTTACAGTATCTGTGCAGTATATGTATGTTTAAACTTTCATGTAGAACTAGTGTAGGCATACTGAAATATGTGGAACCACTGATATGCTCTCTGCACTAAAACCAACTCATTCTCAAAAGTGGCTGAGAGCTTGATCTTGGAATATCTTGGTTTAATATTTGTCTTTCACCCATAACTTTTCTAGCATGTCGGACTATTATAAATATTTTTTTGATAATGAATCGATATTTTGGAGTATCATTTCTTGTGCAAGTGTTTAGGTTTTAATATATTTACCCTCAAACTTTAGGTACAGTATCTGCCATTGTTGGCGCATGTTGTCGTCTGTTTACAACTGACCCGCACGGTTCGAGTGTACTATCACATCCGCTAAAACCTTAAAATTACTCCATGACACTGAACAAAGTTGCTTTCATTGGTACTACTGTATATATTAAAATGAGTATTTTCTGTTTAATACAGCAGGGGTTAGGTCAATTTTCTAGAAAAATCTACCACAATACACCAGAAAAAAATATTCTCGTTTCAAAAGGGGGGAATGGGCAAAAGACTTATACTATAATTACCATATCCTGACCCCTAGGGATTGTCCTGTTGAATCCATTGCCACATCATTTGTGGGTCTTCTAAAACTGAGTTCTCTTAGTGGTATATGCTATCTCTTCTTGCCAGCATGGTGGTGTTCACAAATGCTTTCTCAGCCTCATAGCAAGCATCACTGGGTCTTCGATGTCTATCATGATTGTTTTGAGCTGCAGTGGTGCCGAAATCTGCAACAGCGTGGCTTTGGAACTTGTAATGGCGATTCTTTCAATTATGTTAAAATGAAAATGCTTATACTGTAATGAGATACCAGATGAAAGTTGGCAGAAATAACTCGGTGATACTGCCTTAATCCTCTCTTTTATGTTGGATCTGCACATACTGTTAATTCAGAGTATACTGTAGGCTCTTATTTAGCTTTAGTCAAAGGGCATATCAAAGTTCTGAGGATCTCGTGGCTGGTTAACTATGGCCTGGCTCTCCCATGTGGCATTTTGGTTTCCTATTGCAAAGCCTATGTTCCAAGACATGACTTCTTCAAATTGGTGTGGAGGGCTCTCAAGATAATAATTACCTAAGAAGGGCATAGGTAAAGGGTAGGGGTGATTAGCACTTGTTTCCAGTGAATAAAACTTTGTCTGGGCTGTTGAGCTTTATAGATGGGAAGCTGGTACAGTATCTCATTTCTTTACTAGATGGAAAATCCAGATCTTCTTTCTTTTAGAACACTTGGTGTTTATGTTTGGCTTGTGTTCTGGAGAAGGGGGTTATTTTTCTATTAGTTACTCGAGGTATATATCACAGATAGTACAGTTCAGTGATCCCTATGTTAACGAATTACCTTCCATAAGATTCTTCACTTCTGTTAACGAGCAAACCCTCGTTTAACGAATTCCTTACGAATTTTTCCCAACATGTTTTCGCTTGCATTTGGCTGCCCACCAGCTGTAGTATTAGTCCGCCAATACAGTAATCGGTTTTAGGGCTTAAATTCCTTACCATTTAGTAAATATCAAGAAGGTTGTACGATTCAATAATTTTACAAGTTTTATATTAATTTTTTTTAGTCATTTTAACAATTATTGAACATAATTGAAGTACAGGAACTAGTTTTTGCGCGCCAAACAGTCACTCGACACACCAAGCTTGGCGTCAGTTTGTTTACCAGTTCAGAGGAAGGAACATCTTGTTTGAGACTCTTCAACATAAATGCTTTTTTCTGTTTCCAGTCAAATTATTGGTCACTTTGAAATATATTTTACATATTGACAATATAAAGTGCAGTGTTGATTTAAAGAAAATAATCTTGAATTACACTGCGAACTAAAATTTTATGGGTGAAATGGTGGCATGGGGTGACTTCTCTTCCACTCCAATGCCTTCTCTTCTCCTCCACCCTCATTCTAATTCCCATCATCATCATCAACACTCCCTTCTACTGTACATGCACACCTCAAAGTAAGTGTACTTTACTGCATTTATTTTTAGTTTGTATGTAATTTTCGGTGAGCTGGAACCAATTGCCCAAAAACCCATTGAAACAATGGTTTTGGTTAACGGATTTTTCGGGTAACAAGCAACCTTTTGGAACAAATTGTGCTAGGGACCACTGTACCTCTTTGAAAGCCATTTTGTTAAAATATTGTTATGGAGGAAATGTTTACTAAAAAAATTAAAGTACTGTACAGTTTATACAATGGTTCCACATGAGAGCATGTGACTCGTGAAGCTCTGGACTTTCTCCTGGCCATGTGCTCAACCAATGAGAATGACATACTGTACACCGATTCCAACTCGGCACCCGCTTTTGAAGTCTTAATGCAGACCTGCAAGTATTTTTTTAAACAGTAGTTTATGGGGAAAAGCCTGCAGGGGATATTGCTAATAGGACACTACTGTAATGTGATCAAGCAGGCAAGGAAAAGCATCAGTATGAATGTGTTAGCTTGGGTTTGGCTATGTCAACCTGAAGAATGCAGGCAAGATACAGTAAAGGCATCTGCCCAATGCACCACTTCATTAACAGAAACCAAGACAACTTGTTCAAGAAGCATTTCATGGGAGAAAAGGGAGAGCTAGTTGGAATCCATGTAGGAGAGTAGGGTTGTTTAATATATTTAGTACAGTATCATTAGTGGTATTATCAATACCCAATGAAGCTCATGTGTAAGCAATAGTGCTGCTACAAATGTATAGCCAATGGAATCATGTTATACAGTACTAACCTCTTATAGTGCTTCATTATATAGGAACACATCTAGAGCATTTTAAGAAGTATTGTTTATGGCTGTGTAATTAAATTTTTTCCTTAGGGGTCTCCCCTGCTACTAAATTTTTTAGAACTTCATTGGTTATAAGATGATGTATCTGGGCTTAACCATTTGGATTGGAAATTTGGTTTGCTAGTACAGGACACAGGTCATAGCATTTATTCCCCCCAGATGCCACGTGTCAAAGGTGAGAAGGGCCAGTCGGCCATCGACAAGGTGGTGACTCGAGAGTACACTATCAACATGCACAAGAGGTTGTATGGAGTTTCCTTCAAGAGGAGGGCACCTCGAGCTATTAAGGAAATCCGCAAGTTTGCTAAGCAGCAAATGAACACAGAGGATGTTCGTGTTGACACCAGGTTGAACAAGCACATTTGGTGCCGTGGTATCAGGTATGTTTGCTTGAGTCCATGCTGTTATTTTTATTGATACTGTACTGTAATGCCATCAGTTTTTCAGTAAATATTTAATCCTCCCTCGTAGTATTGCCAAATTTTTAGGTGAATCGTTTGGAAAATAAATGGATATACAGTATTGTAAACTAAGGTTGGAAAGCTGAAAGAAGTCTGTACCTTTTAGACTTGGATAAGGGCATTTGAAAGGGTACTATATTAGGTAGTGCAGTGGGCAAAAAGAAATTTAGGGGTCGAAAAGCATATTGTACGAATGGTTGGAGCATTTAGGGGTTGAATGACGTCTCATACTAATGATAGAAGCATTTTATAACTGCACCAGAAGCTGTGGGAGCAAATGGGGGAGGTCCATAAAGGCTTTCTATATATCATTGGTGTTAAGAGGCTTCTGTTGAAGTATAGTAGAATTAGGAAGATACAGTTGTATCCAACACACATTAACCCTTGGATATTGAGGTTTTTGTCTTTTTTTCAGGAACGTTCCTTTCCGGATTCGTGTTCGTCTCTCGCGTCGTCGTAATGAGGATGAAGATTCTACTCAGCCCTTCTATACTCTAGTTACATTTGTGCCCGTTGCTTCATTCAAAGGACTCGGAACTGAAAATGTTGATGAAGGTTCTGATGATTGAACAATGAATCAATAAAAAATATATACATATATTATCATCTTCATTTTGTCCTTTACAATCTGCCTGAACAGCAGATGTGGAAAAGTCCAATATTAGGTTGCCTTCCCCAAGGCTCAGCAATGAAGCTGGTTTGACCCCAGGTAATTTGGTCAAAACCCTAGAAGGATGGTTTTAAAATAGTAAATTTTTAGTCTTTACCTCTATAACCTGCTTTTATGTCCCATTCATTTTTTCCACAATATCCACGTAAGTATTTTTTAATGACCTCCAGGCTTGTCAGGTGACCTTTTTAATGTTGTATAGTAATCATTTAGTTGCACAGTTGGATAAATAATAACTCTGATATACTGTACAGGATAATCCCCTAAATTCAAAACACCTTAGGTCAAAGGTATACTGTTTGGATGGATTATTCACATATGCAATGGGATATGACACCCATAATTTAAGGTATTCTTGGTCTGCCAAACACTAGGGACAAGGGATTTGAGTGAAAAGTAGTTCAACCTTCTTGCCCCCGAAATTAAAGCAAGTAAAATGCAAGATGATTCAATTCCGGAAATTTTTTTTCATATTTACTTTGTTGAAAAAGTTATAATTTTGTAGATGGAAATGATTAACATGGGAATCTTCAAGAAAATTTAAAATGATTCTAATCTTGCATGATATAACAAGTGAAGAAACACATCACTGGAGCTAGGAAGAGTTGAGAATGTATTATTACTGCCTCCAGTAATGCCTGGCATATCTGTTGATGGTCAAGACCTCTACCACACTTGAGGTGGGTGAGAGAAAGATATGTGCCTACTTGGCAACATAATCTTGCCAGGTCTGCATAGCAATTAAAACTACTGTACATCTACCACGAAAATAATGTCATAAATATGACATGAAACAAAACCCCATAAGCACACATCATATAATGTGGGGGTTAAATACTATAAATCCAACAGAATAACACTAAAAACAATTGAAATTTTACAGAAGAGCAATTAATATTGCTTAATTAATAAATTCCCTTCATCCTTGTTCATCATGTTGAGTACAGGCTTAACACTTGTAACACCAATTGTTCTGATGATTTCAAGCATTATAAATAACAGTAAAGTGAGTAAACCCTTGACAAATTGCAATACAGCAGTAATATCTCTGTTAGCTGAAATCCCATAAATCCGGAACTCTCTGATAACCGGAATTGAAATTTTCTCGGAAAATCACTCCCAAAGCTGGAATTTTACTGAAAATTTCCCGATAGCCAGAAAATTCCGGGGATGGGAATTTTTTTCCGGGTTTGAAAGATGAAAATCAGGCGCATTATCCAGAAATTCAGATAAATTTTTTCCAGTATCTGGAAAATTCCGGGTATGGGAAAATTTTTTCCTGGGTTTGAGAGATTATGTAATGGCCGATTTCTGGAACTTCCAAGAAAATGTTTTCATTGCCCTGAAAATTCTGGGGATGGGGGATATTTTTTCCTGCTTCGAGAGTCTTGTTATCCTGAAATCTCTTATTCCCTGAAATGTTCTGCACTAATTGTTCCGGCTAACGGAGATATCACTGGGGTTTCAACCATATCGAGTTATCAAGGCACTTTCTTCTTGTCTTTCGTCCCATCCCAATACCCAACTTTTTGGCCAAAATAACCTACCATAATCAGGAAACGAACAAAATTTAACACTTACCAGCAATGTAGGTGAAGGACGAGGATAATTCAAACTTGTGATGCCTATGTGGTAGACACCAGAGGTGATGAGAGAGGGGGTGGGGGCTCACTGCACTACTGTACAATATAGTATATGCAATACAATTCTGTATTATAAACACTTAAAATGGTATTCACTTAAACACTATTGTATATGTACAGTATTGGTTAAATTTTCAATGCAGGTGGAATAGCACTTTGCACAAAATGTGAAAATAAGTAGAGTTACTGTGTATAGATATCCTCTCACAAGGCCTACCAACAAGTAAGCAGTAACTTAGTGGCTGACCGGGCAGAGCCTCCCACAGGTCATGTCATTCTGAGATTGCGTTATGTAAAAATAATTTATAGTTGAATATTTTACTGCCATTCCAAGTTATATCGAATTATGAGTTATCAAGCGCTTTCTGTATTTCATTTCTTTATGCAATGATTCTCTTCAAATTCATTAAAATAAATAACAGGCATGAGGGAAAACCACATAATATAGGGAAAAAAATAATAAAGTATTTATTTATTAGCTTAAGCAATATACACAGTAACTTTTAGACTGTAAAACTAGAATTCAAAATGTCTCAATAGCCTAACAAGGCACAAGCTCAGTTATAAAAGAAAGGAAGTCTTTTATGAAATAAATACTGAGGACTAAACTTTGACAAGTTAGGCGTATACAAAGACAAGCATTTGCTACAATGAGCGAGTCAATGTGAAGGACACCAAAGTGTATACCTGTGCTAATTAATCTATTTTTTCCTATTCATGAACAAAGGATCTTGCACAATTAATATACAGTATTCCGAAAATAAGTAAAGGCTTCAACCTTGCTCTATGAAAGCTTTTCTTAATTAACTGAATATGCCAAGGTTAATGCCAAGATACTGTAATTCATTCTTCATAGATAATATACAGATATATTAGGCTTAAATTATACAGTATATCACTCCTTATATACAAACTAATAAAGTATTATCATTACTTGACCTACAGGTACAGTATATTATAATTCATTCGAATGACATACTGAAAGATAACAACAAACAACCCTCTTACAATAAGTACTGTATCATAAACAGGACCTGTATATAAAGATGGTACACATACTGGGGTAATTTATCCTGCATTTTCTATAAAATCTTACACTATATAATAAAATGATGGTCTTCAAAACCCACTTTATAATAAGAACCACCTGGGTCAGGCCTTTTAATGATATTTCAAATATCATCCTCTCCCCGGAGACAACCTACTCTCAAAATGAGTGTCACAGTTTGTCCTGACATATGAATGTGAAAAGCTGTAAGGCTGTCCAGCTCCATCTTTCTAGTATGCAAAATGGACCTCATTTGATAATATTAAACTACCTGGATTGCAGTAACAACCCCCTCACTCCAGTCAATCTCTGAGGAAATCCCATGGGGTAGGTGGGATCCCAATTGCACTAACAGGCTCTGTTATCAAGTGGACTTTCAGGATCAAACCCCATTTATGGCTTGACACCAAGTGAACCAGAATACAGCTAACAAAAAAGGTGAAGGTGGAAAGAAGCACCAAGCATACTGTGACACACCCCCTATTAAATTTTGCCTTGCATAAAATAAAGGAAAAAAGGGATACAGTAATCTTAAAAACTACCTATATTGGTGTTGTCTCAAGATACAGGATTGAAGTCCTCATAATCCAAGATGATGCTTGACCAAGTATGGATTTAAAAAAAATTCTGAGTATGTTAGTAATCTTCAGTTGCCATGACTGTTGGGTTCATTGAGAAAACTTAAAAAAAAAAAGGTGGGTACTCATATTAAGGAATAGCTCCACACCGGTATCATTATAAAATGTGAAATTGCATGTGTGCATAGCACCTACCCTGTACTATGATTTACTATACAGTATTACAAAAAAAGTGTTGATTATATATTTACCTATATTAAGTAATTAACAAATATATTCCTTTGGGTCCTTTGTGGCAACAGTAATGTGAAAAATTGCACATACAGTACATAAGAATAATAAACAAAATTATAAAAAAAATTAAAAACAGCCACTAAATTGTTTTCAACCTGTTGGTTAATCCATTTTTTTTGTATGGCTTTGTTATACAGTACTGTATCTGAAAAGAATATTATAATTTATTTTGAACCATTAAATTTATAGTAACACTCAGATATTATTACAGGTGCATTACATTATTTCTTTTATACAGTCTAGAAGGGTGTCAGAGGCTAAGAAATGAGGACATGACAAAGTGCATTTTATAAAACACTTAAAATGGTGAGTTTCATACAGGTTGGAAATTGTAAATACTTTAATATAAAACACACACTGGACAATACAATATTCCTAATTCCTCTCACATAAATACAGTACAGTACACAGAAAAACACAATTACCTTATATGTTGAAACTTCAAATTTAAGAACCTTTACTTAATATATGTATTTCTTTAATATCAATATCAGAATAGTCCAGATTCAACCATTACCTGTGCGTTTTTTTTTAAATGTTTCAATAATAACGCAGTACTGTATTGTACTAAAAAAAAATAACACCAGTACCATGCAGTGCATTTCAAATTGACCTGTTTTCATCTGAAAATCTGACAACTATTCATCAACAATTCTAAATTAAACACAAGCCACCGTCTATTAACATAACTATTGCACCCATTCTTAGTCTTAGTACAGGTCTAACCAATCTAATCCAGGACCCGACCACTGCAAGATCACAATTTCCAAACCTAAGAAAATCAGGTGAAGTCTGGTGAAAAAATTCCTCTACTCTTATCATGACAAAAAAATAGAAATACAGTACAGGTTGACAACCCTTATTCCGAAAACCTCTAAAACCGATTTTTTTTTTTTTTTTTTAACAGGGATTAGCCCGCCCGGGCATAAATCACTGACTCACATCGGGGCCTGGTGGGCGAAATTGTAATACGTAGTACTAATAATAATAATAATAATAATAATAATAATAATAATAATTATTCATAGTAAATAAAATTTTTAATTAAAATATTGTACACCAAAATAAAATAATAATTATAATAACAATAATACTGTAATAAAATAATAATAATAATAATAATAATGAAATACAAGAATGAAAAAAAAGATCAAAAGTGAGAAATGCGACCTAGAGCTATGAATTATTATTATTATTATTATTATTATTATTATTATTATTATTATAATATTTTCGCCCCCCCAGGCCCCGATGTGGGTCAGTGATCTATGCCCGGGTGGGCTTATATAAAAAAATAAAATAAATAAATAAATAAATAACCATTCTGAAAACCGAAAAATTCCGAAAACCGAAATGCCTCTGGCC